ATAATCACTGACTCACTAATATGTACATAAATTTAATGTTGCAGCCGGAGATCATTTACATGTCTTTTATTCTGCTGGATATCTTTAGCTATAGTAATAAATTATCATATGTTAGTAGATTTATGTTAAAATCTGCAATATAACAAGTATAATATGAACCGTCCCGGGCACAATGCAGTGGAGTCAAAGTTAAAACTATAATAAAAAGTTATGTTAGAGCTTAATTAACACAATCTTCAGAAGCAGTTTTACTTCCTTTAAAGAAAACTATATTATCAAACAGAAACTTCAGTCTCAGTGGAAATAATTAAAAAGTATAGCCTTGGGGACAGATAGCAGAAGGCCTCAGAGCTTTGGAAAGAAAGAGATGATTAGCTGTAAGTAACTACGACATCAGGTCACTGCAAAGGAAATGTCAGCATTTCAATAATGTGCCACTAACACTCGAGTATCTACAAATGCTGAATGAGGATAAAACGAGGCGACATACAGTCTGAATGATTGCAGTTTTTTTATACTAACTGGATAGAGGTCTGTATTCATGTTGGATTATTCCACTCTATTCGGCTTAGGAAGTTTCCCTGCAGTGTCAATATGAATAATATTATAAAAGGAGAATTTCAGCCACAACAGAGCACCAAGGACCTGCATTGGTAAACAAACACTTAAAATGCACCAGAATAAAATCATAATACAAATTCAGTGTGTAGCAGGAAAGCAAACCATATTCTTGTATTCATTAATCACCTCGTGAATTATTCCTAGTAACTGACAACTTTCTTACTTTATATACCTCTTGCATGTCCTCTGAGGACAGGAACGTTGCAGGTGCAGCATGAGCAAAGGTTGAAGCACAGCAGCTCCCACAATAGAAAATCTGGAGACCAAACTTGAACAGAACACAGTTCATATAGAATCTCATCACAGGGTCAGTAAGTCTGTTTGTGAAGGTGGGATCATAATAATATTCTGACCAAGGAGAATTTGTTTCAGACAGGAGTAGAGATCAGGAAGAGGTGAATTAATTTTACTGGGTTAAAATGTGAATAAATGTGAGGTGCACAGTGATGAACTGAGAATTTACAAAAGTAAAAGTAATACAAAGGAACAAAAGCAAAACTGAGGAGACGTTTTCTCTATGATTTGTTTGAAATAATAGATGTCATTTGGTCTCATTCTTCAACTTAAGATAAGATATTATGTGATATTTCTGAATCCTGTCTTTTCACCAACGAAGATAAAAACAATTCTCACAGGTCTGGCATGCTTGTCTTAATGATTTACTTTAAAATGTAGCTTATATGTTGCTTATTTTAACATGACTTGTTTAAGATATGTAAGCAGCGTGGTTAATATCGAAGCTGACCCATCTCTGGTCTCTAAAGAATCATTTCAGGCTGGAAGAACACGTAGAAATTAAACCAAGTTGCATAAAGTGGCGTCAGTGATCTTCCAGCTGGATACACAGTGTGTGGAAGAAAATCCTACCTTCAAAGGATTCAACTGACCTGAACAATTAAGTTTAGTGTGTCTTAATTAGCTTCTTTCTTTCATTGTTAAATTTATGAATAAATGAACAACCAAAATCCATCAAGAGTATTTGTCTCACTTAGTGGTATGTCCCAGAAATTGGTGCTATCAAAACACTACGTTTACTTTGAGGTAGGGGAGTTTGTTCTAGGATGTTTTTATATTACCATGGGCCCAACTCAGTAAAATACCAGTTATTGTGAAGCTTCCTTTGGTGTTTCATAGCAACATTAGCTGTGAATTGTGCAGCTAGCCACACTACAAAACAGGAAGTTTATGGTCAAAGAGGCACACAGTCAAACCCTAAGGTTGAAAGGTTTCTACATATTATCAATCTTGTGAGCTAACAAGTGTTAACTGTGAGAGGGTAAATATAATAAACCTGCATATACTGAGTCATGAACTTTTGCTTTCATGCTATACCCTCCTTGACTTGGTCATGATAATGTCTTCAGGATGCATGATATGAACAAGCTGCTGCTCCTAAATCTCAAGTAGATTTTGCGGTCATAGCAACAGTCAGTGAACTGTAGCCAAGTTGTAGAAATATGACTTCCACCGATCGCCTGATAGATCATCAGTGGAAACAAAGCCTGTGAATACTTATGTAGACACTCTTTCAGGTCATATATCAGGTATTTGTGCCTGATATGTGTGTGTATATATATATATATATATTGATTATTGGTTGCTTCTCAAGCTATAGTGTATGGTGAATAATAATGTACATCAGCAGTATGTAAGCAAAGATAATTAGCTTTTGAGGAGACCATACAGATGAAATTGCCAGTCAAACCAGTAGAAAAATATTCTACTTTATCCCCTTGGGGTTAGAGTGCTATAAAATTTAAATACAAGGACGTAAAGGTAAGTTAAGTTACAGACAGAGAGTGGAGCTCAGTATTGCAGGATTTCTAGCGGTAGGTCAAAGCATCGTTGAATGTTGGCGTCAGTATGAATGTTCCCTCACAAAGTGAATTTTCTTCTCTGCAGAACTTTAACTCCGAGAACCCAAACTGTGTTGGCATTGAAGGTGTACTAGAGGCTTACTTTCAGAGCCTGCGAACTGTTCAGCTGTATGGTCCAACCAACTTTGCTCCTGTCATCAACCAAGTGGCTCGGTGAGAGACAAAGCTTTACTCACACACATTCTCTCGTT